GGGACCCCCTGCCTCCCTGATAGCTCGATGGACAGAGCGGGACTGGTACTGTCGAAGGGCGGGGGAGGGAGGTGGTGTCGGTGGCAGGGTTGGTAGTTCGATAGGGTCTGGTGGCGATGGTCGAGCCATGAGTCTGCTGGTACCGATTGTCTGGTGATGAATAGTGCGCCTCTGACACCACTGGTGTTAGCGTGGGATGCGCGGTGTTCGCAAGGTGCTTGAGCGTGGGTGATACGGCAGCTGGTGCCGTGCCTTTTCCGGGGTGGCTGCTAATTATTAGCGGCAACACAATCCCCATAATTTTCTTTCAATGCTTTTGATTGAATGGAGACATCATCACCAAACTTTTAGCATTTTTTCCTCAGCAATTTGACTTAAGGTGACAAAATGATGCTTCAAAATCGTGAAAGATCGAAAGCCAAAAAGAAAGAGAAAGAGGGCTACCCGGTAAAAGGGGATTTTGCAACACGTTCTGTCGAGTCTACAATTTTAGGAACGAGACATTATCTTGTACCAAACGCCGCCGTAAAATGAGCAGTGCTTGGAAACTTTCTCTTATCATTTTCGCCACTGTTCGGTAGATTGCCAGCGCGTGAGTAAAGTGGATCGAAAGCTAGTCTCCACTCGCTATAGTCTGTGAAGCCTCCACGCTAAACCATGGGTGGAGAATTGTGCTGGACTGGGGGTGCTCGAGCTCTCCCAATTCCACGCCGGCCACGCCGGCTTGGCTTTGGAGCCGCGGCCGGGCGGCGCGGGTCAAGGTCACCGCTAGGCGGCGGCGGATTTGCTGCGCCCGAGCACCCCCAGCTGGTCACAATTCTCCACCTATGCGCTAAACTGAGATCTAAGAAGGTAAATATTAGTCTGAGAGAGCTCAGTCCCAACCACAGTTCTGGTACCCATGGTAAGCAAATGGCCCGGATGCTGGTGTGGTGTTGCACGGAACGTTTTATTCAGCAAAAGGCCCAATTCGTGACCAAAATGACATGAGATGGGGGTTGAGTTGTCAATTTGTTGAAGGTTCACTTACCCTGTTGAGAAGTAGGGTGATTGACGTTGTTTGAAACCACACCAAGCTGGTTAAAAGGGGCCTTTTGGCGTCCAGAAGTGACCCTACTTATTAAAGTGTCTCAACCATCAACCCAGCGGGCCCAAATGTCAGCCATAGCCATACAGGCGTATGTGTGCCCATTCTCCTCACCCAAAGTATATACCTACTTTATACGTTTTATTTTGGCATAACGAGGCTTGGTTTATAAGCCTGGCGCCGCTTGCTACCTTCTCAATCACCCATTTCACATAAAAGCATGCATACCATCTAACCTTGCGTGCGCCCGCGGGGTAAAGGTCGTGACCCGCTTGGGGCGGCGTTACTGAGCCCTCACTGCCACTGCGGGTCGATCGGGTGGCCGCTTGTTGCCCAGCGCACGGCATAACAAGCAGCGAACAAAGCGAGCGTTCGCTGTGGCCACTGCCCCTGTGCGATGATCTTTAGCGGCGCTGAGGAGGTCAGTCTCATGGAACAGGCCGCGGCCATGGACACGCTCCCAACAGAATCACGTCATTCTGTAGGGGGGGGGGGGGGTGTCAACGCCGCTGGCCTGGAGCTTTTTGATGGAGTCAGTCTCGCGTGCGTGTGGTGGTTTTGTGGGTTGTTATGTGTGCTTGCTGCAGAGGTTAGTAAATTTAAATTAATTAAGTGGGTACATGCAGGCGACACGTTCAGAACACCATAAACGTCTTTGTTATTTGTGCTTGTCGTAGTAAGAGTTCGCGGCCCGTCCCAGCTCCCTGATGCATCGGATAAATTCAACATTGCCTTTGCTAACTGGAAACTCACCCTTCAAATGTGACTAAAACGTAGGCTTAGCCGCTGCAAATATCTAATATATGTATAGTTTTATATGCTCCTACTATTCGCGGAAAGTTTCAAAGCAATCGAGATCGGTAAAGCTATGGACGAGTACCTAATCCCATATGATATGCTTAGATGGCTTAGATTATGTCTTGACATACGACCGTCTTATGTAACTCGAAGTTATTATGTGAGCCTGGTCTCGCATTTGCATATCATATTCCTGGACATATGTGCAACAAAATGTACGGAAGCAGCAGGACATTGTTCTCGTGTCATTTTAGACAATAGTGAAAACTCAAGACACGTTGGAAAACCATCCCCGCCAAGAATCATATAACCATAACCGCGGTTCTTCATCAACGTCATTTCCGTTCCGTTCCGTTCCGTTTATTGATTATAATTTGGGATCACACATTGAACAATTCATAATTTATGGCACTGTCAAACGGGATTGGTCGGAAAGGATTCACATGTTAGTTTTGTTAGAATACGGACAGTTAGTGTTAAAGGTTATATTGGGGAGTTTGACAGTGCCTAACCAGACGGTAACACAAAGACGAGATCAAAAAGACGAGTCAGCGGCCGTTCCAGAGAGCGGCGACCCAGCACCGCCGCCGAGCGCAGCGGCCATCCGGCACCCGGCGCCAAGCACCAGCCGGGCCTTGGTCGATGGGGATGGTGCCCGGAGAGCGGCGACTCAGTATCGCCGTCCAGCACACAGTCATCGGGCGTTCGACGCCGCCATCCCGCCGGTCCGAGGTCGGCAGTAGCGCCACAGAGGTGGCGCCTGCTCCACCAGTGGCGCTCGTCCCACCAGTGGCGCCACCCCATGGCAGCACGAAGATGTAGTCCGTTGTCAAGTCAGGAGAGGGGGCACCGCTGCCGGTCACCGCAGCGGTCGCAAGGTGCCGGTCGTCGCACATCCAACGGGCCGCGTCCCGAGAATGAAGCCATCGGGCTGCAACCGTGGGTAGCCGCCCTGTGCGCCACAAGGACGGCACCTCCTCAGGGAGCGGAAGCAACAGCCGCCATCCGTCGCAGGCCGCAGCAGCCCCCAGCAGCATGGCACCGCGGTGCCATGCTGAAGCCCGCGCCATCGAAGCCCGCGGGCTTCGACCGGACCCTGTCCAGCCGTGTAGCTCAGCTGTAGGGGCAGATGGTCGGAGAGGAACGTTAGGCCGGGGTCAATCACATTATCGTTCAGGGGTCGGGAACGTAGGCAGGTACAAACTGGTACGATGCTGGGGTATTTAAAGAATTGGAAAGAAAACTTGAGTAGCGTAGTGTTGAATGGCCATTGTAAATCTGTATATGAATTCATGTATGAATAAATATGAATAAATATTCATTCCCACCTATAAGTTCAATATTTGCTCACCAGCTTATATCATCAAATGATGTTGCCTTTTACAGATTCCTTTAAGGCTAATTACCAACCCGTGTCACTATGGCTGATCAAAAACAGGCGTTCAATACGCACATTCCAAGAATGTTTTGACCTGCTGTTTGTCCAACGGTAGCGACGGGAAGGCAGGCACCGCCTGTCTGCTCCTCGATCCACACAATGTTTTTACTGCTAGTTATTATCCAGCGCCTATAAACGGCTGTCTGAATTCGGTCTGGGGGTAAAGTGGGTCCGATCCGTTCTGCAGAAATGATGATTTTCTACTGACATCACACAAATGTTTCGTTGCACGAGCAATTAGTTTAACCTTTTGATGAATAAGACCTTCTCTATCGGTTCAGAACATTTCCCAGAACCGAAATTAACACGTTTCTGCCGTGCGATGCCATTACTGCCTATTTTAGCCATTCCGTAACTGGAGGAAACGTCCATTTCCTCGATAGTCGATATAATGCCGTCGGTCGGTGTGGCTATCGGTGTGGTCGGTCGGTGTGCACTATGCAGTTGCACATTCATTGCACATTGCACAACTGTGATTAGTGATCGGAGCGTCCTCTGTAGAAGGTATCTGCCACCTAGCGGCCAACGTCGCAAATGTCAGGGCCCAGGTGCGAAACGACAAAGATAAAGGCTGATGATGTTGGTATCGAGGAGGGACGAAGGGGATATCAAGAGAGACTACTTGAATACCTATAAGAAGCAGAAGTATGCCTTAGGTATTCAAATTGTGATTGGGGTCGATTTTGTGACCTCTAGATATTAACTATTAAGTCACCTAGAAATAGCCAAACTGCATCGTCTTCTGACGGAACCGTAAGAAACACTCCTAAATAGATTTGGAAAATAGCTACAGTGCATATTTAATGAATGGGTCTTTTGAAAATAAATTTGAATGTCGTATCCACAATCTCATGTTTTGACAACTTCTACAGGGACATATTCAAACGATTTAAAAAAGAGACTTCTTATGTTCAGCTCAACAGTATTTATTAATTAATCGACTGAAATGCAACGTGATCATCTCTGGTCAGGTCATGGGCTGACCTAAGGTCAACTTTCAAAGTGGACCAATTAAGATCAGATTTTAATAAAGTACATTTAATGTGTCCGGCGAGAGAAACGCAGCATAAGTAAAAAAGCGTTGTTGTCGAAGCAAGCGTTGGGTGAATTAAAGTTTAAATTTACCCGAAACAAATTAATTTATTTTCTGTCATCTCGATTTCACAGCATTCAACATGGTTCAAATATAAGTAGATATCAGCCGATAAGCGAAAAAAGCAGATAACATTCGAATGTTTTCATTGATTTATAGCTTTGTAGCAGTTTACTGATTAGGAACAAACTTGTCGAAAAACGTTGAGATCGTCGAGCTTCGACCTTTGATGACATCTGAACTTTGATGGCATTACCGAAAAACACCGAAACATTCACTTGTGACTTTTTCATTTTTGACTACCCATCCTACCTCCCCTACCCTTGTCTCTTCATGGCCCATGAGCCGTGTAGAAAAGGGAGAAGACGCAGCATATGTGTCGTGATCGGACCATCGTTCTAGAATGGAGATTTGACCGATGATCACATTGTTCAATCCGAATCCCGCCGAGTTGCGTCATTATCGAGCGAAGTCTGTGCAGTATGCAATCTACATTCTACAACGGTTAGAAAGCAGGTAGTCATCACTTGCTCCTAAGATGGTAGGTTTCTAAGCACCTAACTAATTGCTGAGAAAAGGCCAGCTGCAGGGTACATAATGTGTATTCGTCACTGCCACACTTAGCATACACGTAGTGACGATTGGTAAGGTAATCGTCGAACTTGCGATCATTTGCATTATGGTGCATGTAGAATTAGATGATACGTCAGCCATCGCAGAGAAAAGCATCACACAAACCTTCGAGAAAACTACTCATCTACGAAATCCTACCTGAGATATGGCAAGTGGAGCATTGTCCTAATTAGCTATGCAAGTGAGATCGCTAGTATAATACTGATTATAGTATATTCAACAAAAATAATGACGCCATGAATATTACGAATGAAATGAATGAAACAACGTTATGAACCATACGAAAACACAAGCGACATCTGTTTCTGTACAGCTAGTACAAATAGAGCTGCAATGCCTCAGACTTTCAGAAATACGGCTTGTTAAGAGTGCACTTTGTGTGACGAAGACTTCAAATATCCTCTCTTCTAATACCCGTCGTTCGTTGATTTCATTCCGTTTCCCGTCATCATGATGCCGACGCTTTTGACGTCATTTCCTCCAGCTAATATTCATCGTCTCCCTCCTCATACTCATCACCCCCAGCCTCCACCTCTTCGTAATCCTTCTCCAGCGCGGCCAGGTCCTCACGGGCCTCAGCGAACTCGCCCTCCTCCATGCCCTCGCCGACGTACCAGTGCACGAAGGCGCGCTTGGCGAACATCAAGTCGAACTTGTGGTTGAGCCGAGCCCAAGCGGCGCGAATGGCAGTCGTGTTGGCCAGCATGCAGATGGCGCGCTGCACCTTGGCCAGGTCTCCGCCGGGCACCACGGTCGGCGGCTGATAGTTGACGCCCACCTGGAGAAAAGTTTGGTCAAGTCAGCACACCGCTGATATGATGCTATGCTAATATATATGCTGGCACTGGACAGCGTTTCAGGTAAGGAATGATTGAAGGTGAACGATGGCAAGCCCTTTACGTACAGAGCCTTTACGATGCTTAATTAGCAGAAAAAGGTGGATGGCAACGAGAAAATAAGAACGGTCAGCAGCAAACGTCAAAGCACTTACCTTGAATCCCGTCGGGCACCATTCCACGAACTCGATGCTCCTCTTTGCCTTCATGGCTGCGATGGCGGCGTTGACGTCCTTGGGGACAACGTCACCGCGGTAGAGCAGGCAGCAGGCCATGTACTTGCCCTCGCGCGGATCACACTTGACCATCTGGTTGGACGGCTCGAAACAGGCCTGAGTGATCTCCGAGACGGAAAGGCTCTCGTGCTGCGCCTTTTCGGCCGAGATGACCGGAGCGTAGGTGACCAGCGGGAAGTGGATGCGAGGGTACGGCACCAGGTTGGTCTGGAACTCGGTCAGGTCAACATTCAACGCTCCCTCGAAGCGCAGCGAGGCCGTGATGGAGGAGACGATCTGGCCTATCAGACGGTTCAGGTTGGTGTAGGTCGGACGCTCGATGTCCAGGTTCTTCTGGCAGAGCTGGTAGATGGCCTGGTTGTCGACCATGAACTCGACGTCAGTATGCTCCAGAGTGGTGTGGGTAAACAGGTCTGCGTTGTAAGGCTCCACGACGGCAGTGGCAACCTGAAAAAGACAGACGTTTCAGGTATCGTTGAAGCTTGGTAAGGGCCAGTGATGGCGAAAGAATCGATCGATGATAGGACGATAGCATATTTAATTCAGCACGTCCTTTGGCAGAATTACCTGTCATGTTCCTTCGAAAAAGTCGGCCAAATAGTTACCTCCGGTGCAGGGTAGATGGAGAAGCTCAGTTTTGACTTCTTGCCGTAGTCGATGGAAAGTCTCTCCATCAGCAGCGAGGTGAAGCCGGAGCCGGTGCCGCCGCCGAACGAGTGGAAGATCAGGAATCCCTGCAGACCGGTACACTGGTCGGCCAGCTTTCTGATGCGGTCCAGTGACTGATCAATAACCTCCTTACCTGTGTGGAAATCAGGCCAAGTTAGGCATTACAAAATTGTCAATTTAAATGAGATTCGTCAAGGCGTAAACATAACCAGAGTGAGACAATGTGTTCGGATAGATGAGCGACTTTGTTTCTATCCCTATATACGGCCTTAGTTTCTATAAAACAAAAATCCAGCTCCTCTGCATGTTCGACTAGATATAACGGCTTGCAAGAGTTGTATGTAGGTATGTACCCACCAATAGTGTAATGCCCCCTCGCGTAGTTGTTGGCAGCATCCTCTTTGCCCGAGAGCAGTTGAGATGGATGGAAAAGCTGCCGGTAAGTTCCCGTGCGGACTTCGTCTGAAAAGAAGATAACAATTTTGATTGAGGATACACTCGAAGGAACCCATTATAGCTGCAGACGGCTATATCGGTTAAACCAATATCACTCTAGCATCTCGGCATTTATGAAACGCAACGAAACGATTGTAGCTCGGGAAACATTTCGAAAAAAAGAAATATTGTGATTGGTGTATGTACATACCTACTCGTAAAGCCAACATGCTATCGGATGGTAATCCCTGACGCTCCACAGAAAGCTGAACTTGCTGTGAGTAACTATTACTGACTCATACAGACGGATTTAATTCGATAGGTATACTCATAAACTACGCAAACAGCTGCCTGTAACTCACACGGCTCATCAGCATATGATTCAGACGGTATCCTCACCAACAACAGTGGGTTCCAGATCGACAAAGATAGCTCGCGGCACGTGCTTCCCGGAGCCGGTCTCGGAGAAGAACGTGTTGAAGCTGTCGTCATTGGCAGCGTTGGTGTCGGATGGCATCTGTCCGTCGGGCTGGACGCCGTGCTCGAGGCAGTAGAGCTCCCAGCAGGCGTTGCCCATCTGGACGCCGGCCTGGCCCACGTGCACACTGATCACCTCCCTCTGGAAAGAGACGTTTGAAGTGATCGATCAGATGGTCCGTTGAATAAGGGTGAATCTACTGGAATGAAGTCTCATAAGAAGAAATCGGTGATTTGCTTTTTGGCCTATTGACCTATTTATTGTATCAACATACTGATTGCAGCTGGCTGCAGCTGCATCATACGATAGAGAAATGAGGATAGACGGAACATTTTCAAGCCTTTGCAACGTATTCATCGTTCAGAAAGGATAATGCGAGGAGAGCAAAAGAACACCAAACGTAAGCCTCATCAGGCATCGGTATTCGGTTGTGTCTTGTTATGGTAATATTTTGGAACAGCAAGCAATAATTAAATAATCCGCACTTTTTAGATAGGTGGATGAGCATTAATTATCACAGTAAAAAAAGCTATTGTAATGCCTAATTACATCATGCATGTAATTTACATCAATGCTTAGTTAAAAGTAATTTAAAGCAGCACCTTATGCATACGTATTACGCAACTTACCATGTTTTCAAGCAGGGCGAAAGTACGATCAAAGCTAAATCACGGCCGTGCCGTCACTCTTGATGAAGCGGTCCGCCCAAACACATGGACTTGTATGAACCTCCTACGGGCGTGTCTTGAGTCGGGGGAATTCGGTCCCACCTCCGACATGTATCGCACACGCCTTCCCACCCATCAACCTCAATCGGGCGGTCCGGGTATCGATTTCAGAGAGTGTACATCCGCCCCGGGCCTGTGTTTTGGAATGTCGTTGCCAGGGTACCCGATTGCTATCGAGTCATCGACTGCCACTGGGGTTCCTGGCACCCCAAATTGCTCGCCGACGGGGCAGGTCGTCGGCAGCTCCATGCATGATTCATAGTGGTCGCCTGTGCTCGGAGGGTGTGAGACACTACGAGGTCATTCATGACTCAATGCTCGACGTTGTAGCAGACCCTGAAACAACACTAAGGAATTTAATAATCGTAGCATTAAATGTGTCTGAAATGTGGCAGCTGTGACATGATATGCATTCTCAGAAAGGCGACAAACGAGTATCAAAGACAGTGGCCTATTAGACTTGCACGTCTTCTGATAGTGCTTTGTTGAAGCCTTGATTTTTAGTATGTAAGTGCTTGATCCGAATACGACGGAACTTCAGTGACCAGCTCAGTGAGCACTGAGCGTGCAGCTGAGACGATCGAGCAGGCAGTCGTGAATGTGATAAGGTTGAATGGATTCAATTGCTTGGATATCACCGTCTGCATCGCATGTTAACCAGGGCATTAAAGAGTTTAGAGTCATCTAAAGATGTTAACCCTCGCCAGATCTATTGGTTTTCTATATACGCGACGGTCGAAGGGGGGAGGGTTGATTGGTACGACCATCCTCACCATTTCGCCCCTGATGAAGCTAAAGCCCCGCAGAAAGAACGAGCGTGTGTGCCGTTACGTGATGCAGCGACTGGTACCCAGTTTTAAGGTCTCGGGTCTACCGGTAACCTTTGAGGTCAGGTCCAGTGGCCCTAGGCATGGGCTCGGCTACTTATAAATAAATTCGCAGAAAATGGCCGCTGAGCCGCGATTTTGGTACCATCGTGTTCGCCTCGCTCAAGCGCGTCGAATGATATACTTTTTCTTCGGTTGATGTCAACTACAGATGTTGACCTCGGGTCAAGGACAGGTCAGAGCTCCCCAGGTCACGAAATTGGTCAAAGGAGGTTATATTGCGTATTATGTGATTCGGCTGGTTTTCCCGAGTCCATTAGTGACTTCCCCGACTCGCTAGCTTAATTTGATCGGGAGTTATTGACGAAAAGCTATCATGACCCTAGTGACGTCATAACTGACGTGACACAAGGTCAACAATGCAAAAGTGAACCAAATGACCTTTCAATGAGTGCATGGAATCACGATTTTGTGTGATTTAGACAGTCTGAGTCTGAGATCGTTCCCGGCGCTAAAATAACAGTTTTTGTTTTCCCCATTCACTTATAATGGTGAGGTCACGTGATCGACCTGACCTCATGTGACCTTTAAGGAAAATCCTATCCGGGCATACTAGACCTCTAGAGCATACTAGATCCTGTAAGTTTCATCTTCCTGTGAAAGCTGCCATGGCACTGACAGCGTTGCGATGTTGCACTTTGCAGCATCTGAGGACCGCACTTTGCAGCATCTGAGGACCGTGTAGAGGTTCACTTATGACTCCTTAGGTCAGTGACCTGACCTGACCGGAAAATGCAGTTGCCGTGTCACAGGATTCGGCCCAGCTTGAAGCAACGGTCAGGTATGCCAAGTTTCAACTCCATCACCGGCGTGTTCCGGACTATCGCGAAAAAAAAATATTTGATTGGCGGCATCCGCCACCCCCCCCCCCCCCCCTCGGCCGGCGAGGGTTAAGGTGATCGTTCATTAGATCGTATCATAACATAAATTACCTACATTCTAATGTATTAAACCTTTATTACCTACATTAGTGAATACAACATTTTACCTCGGCACAATTCATCGCGAGCATTGCGAACATGAAAATAAACTAACCGAAGTCGAGTTACGCTCGCTTCGCTCGCTCCGTAATAACTGCATTTTTCACCATTGACAGTGCATTAAGAGTTGCAGGTGGTGACAAAAAATTTGCATCTTAACTGATAACTCTTACTGACGTGATGGCCAGCGCATTTGCCGAAGGTGTCCCTGGTGCGGTCGTACATTAGCTCTAACTAAATTTCTCTCGCTAGATGTCACTACAAACGAACGCCTGAACGATGCTGTGCCGCAAGACAGTAATAGTTATTTGCTGGTCAATAGATGGCGCTAGCTGTACCACTTCGCTGTAGGATCGTCTGCCTGCACCCAGCGCTGGCGCATTTTGATTTACTGTTTCGTCACTCGGATCTCATTTACTAATCGATGTCTGATTATCTGATTAATAATCATGACTGATGCCGGAAGGAGTCCCATTAATTAACGATGACAACTCAGCACCGAACTATCCACGAGTCACGACTTTCAGAGCCTGGGCGGTTTATAAGAACAAACTCATTCTTTTAGTCATAACTCTACGGTGACGTCTCAGACATTGACCAACGTATTTTATGAAGTAGTATTATTCATCATTAGCTCTAATTAAGCAGAAAACTTCACAAACTTTGATCATTTTGCCGCCCCTTGAGTTGGCAGAAGCTTACCAACCATACAGGGTAAATCGGTTTTAGCTCATATTTTCGCTACCTCTATTGCTTATTCTAACATATTATCCTGAAAATGGTTGTCTTATCTATTTTGTGTCCCTAATCCATCATTAATCCCGGTAAAAAGTTATTCCCTCTATTTTCCCCGAAGCGTCATCAATGTTGCCCAAATATCAAAACTCGCCATTGTTAGAACATCCTATATCGGCAACCTTGCTTGGAGCCACGCCTGTCAAAAATGCAATATCAATATGAATCACCAGACAACAGATGCCCTCCTCGAATGCAGCAGAAAACAGCTCAAAAACTAGTTCTGTATATTGGGCTTTGCTGAAATATAATAGTAGTAAAACACATAACACGATTTGTGGGGCGGCGTTGGGCCGCGAGCAGCCTTCATTGCGGACGGTTCCTTGCCGATGGAAGACCGAACGAAGCGAAAAATCGAGCCGACGCGACACGACAGACTGTGTGACCAGCAGAGGCGGTTGAAAACGGTGCGGACGCGGCACAGAAGGCACAAGCCCCACGTGAGTCGCCCGGACGGAAACGGCGAACAGTAGCGTGCACACAGCGCCAGAGCGCGCAAAGACCGCGCCGGTGACGATAAAACGGGCGTGCGGCGGTCCAGCGGACGCTGCCGACGCTTTTCACACCTGGCGAGCACAGCATGAACTAGAGCTTCTTCGCCTCGCCGCTGGCGCGCAAGCCGACACATCCAGACGCCAACAATGCAGCAGACTTCAGTAAAATACGTTTTACAACACATGTGAAAATAGCGCGCTTCCAACGGCAACGCCCCAAGGCGGCGCACCTGCCCGACAGCCGCCTCCGCGCTCCGCGAAGCGGCCGGCAGCGCAGGCACAACACTCATAGGAACTCGCATTCATTCTTTCACAATCACGCTTCGATTCATGCACTCATCGCACAATCACTCACGCACTATTCGCACACATCCTTGGGCGCACGCGCACCACAGTGCAGGGCCAGCGCCCGAGCCCAGCAGTTCTTCGCAGCAATTCACTGCTTCGATGCGACCACGTATCACAAGCGTTTGTGTGTTGACGCGCCTTGCAGGCCATTGTTCGTCACTAGCGCCAATTCGGTGTCAGCGAGCACCAAACAGGGTTCGTGTTCTCTCCTCGGGAGCTCATATGGCCTCGGGGGCCGCCGCAGGCTCGAGGCCAGTCCCCAGCAAGTCTCCCGTTTCCACGTGCGCCGCGGGCTCGTCCACGTGGTCGCCGTTCTCGTGCGGGGCCCCGTTCTCGGTCGGTGAGCCGTTCACGTTGGCCGGTGCGTCTCCAGCGCCATCGGACGGCAGTTTGTCGGACTCCGACACGCAGTCAGCCACGGGCGGCAGCTCTGCCTCCGCGGCCTTTGCAGGCTCCTTGGTGGGTGATTTGGCCTTGCCCGTTTTGGTGGCGGCGGTGCCCGACTTGGTGCGGCCGACCGAGAGTCGGTGGCCGGCCGGTTTCGCCGCCGTGGTGGTCGGCTTCTTGGCTCCGGTGGCTGCGAAAACATAGATGTTAGAGTGTCAAATATACAGCAATACAGCATACCATTACCAATGCGTCACAAAAATGACTTATACTTTTATCTTTAACCATATGAAATGTCCCACGATTGACAAGAGCATAGAGAGGCATTAATGTCAAAAGGTTCGAGAATACGTGTCTGATAATCTGACTAGTGACTATGACATGCACATGAAGCATTAGCGCACTACACACACACACACACACGGAAATACATGCTTGGATATGACATGGAAGAAAAACGAAACAAGAAAGACGAAACATTAGCCTAACACTGTTCACCCCGAAAACTACCAGCCGTATCACTCACCGTTCGCCGGCGCCGCTGTCGAAGACGCAGCCGCCCGGGCCGCCGCGCGGGACGCCATCGTTCCCGTCACCTTGCTGGCCGCCGCAGTCATCTTCACCTCTGCCGGCTTCTTCGGGCCGGCTCCGTTAGTAGTGGCTGCGCGCGGGGTTGGCGCCACTCGTCCCGGGGTGGTCTTAGTGGCCGCTCCCGGCGCTGGGCGAGCGGGCTTTGGTGCAGCGGTCCTCGCCGAGGTGGGTTTCGGCGCGGCGGGTTTGGCTGCGGCCGGTTTGGTGGGGGATTTGTGTGTAGTGGTGGCGGTGGTAGCGGGACGGGTGGTGCCCGAGGCTGACCGGGCAGTGGGGGCCTTGGGAGCGCCGCTGGCGGCAGGACGGGCGGCCGTCGTCCGCGCCGCGGAGGGAGCCGCGCCCACCCGGCTGGCAGCCGTCTTTGTAGGAGAGGTGGTCGCCCTCGCAGCGCCCACTGCCGGCTTAGCGGCAGCACCGGTGGTCGTTTTGGTCCCCGTGCCAGAGGCCGTTTTCGACAAAGCCGGCCGGGCGGCGGTCGTCTTGGCCGCGGTCGGTCGCGGAGCGGCGGTCGAAGCAGCCGGTTTGGGCGCAGGTTTC